TACAACTCAGTTATTGCTTAGCTGTTATATGATGCTTTATTAGTACTAATAGGAAGTAATTGTATTTTATATTGGAAAGAAAAAAACAATACAAAGAAAAAGTTTTTCTATACAAAAGATACAGAGTCTTTAGTATAAGATCGAATTTATACCAAGCGTGTTACATTCGCGTTTTCAGGAAATATTCATTAAACTCATAAATTAAACCTAATTTAATTCGAGTGGATGTATGGCGTCATGTATCTCCATTTTCATTCTGTGTGCCAATTACTCCATTATTCTGTTCAATTACATATACTACGTATCTCGCACGAGCTGTATCTACAATGATGCGTGACTACGATTGAACTGACAACTGTACAAGATTCAAGAGAAATTATTAAAAGAAATAATTACATTTTTATTGTATATCAAATGTTCATGATATGTTACTCTATTTGCAAAATTATTGTAATACTAAAGATGACAATTTCTCGACTTTTAGCCAATAAAAATTAAAATGTGATACAATTTATTTATTTAGATTTGTTCATCTTATTTTTATAAGCTTGTACGTTAGCAAGTTAGTTCTTATCGGAATTTATCCAAAATTTAATTTCTTTAAAGAAAGAAAATTTAATTTCTTTATGTAACATCATGTCGTGCACAGCTAACATTACGAAATCATATACAGAAATCTTTTTCAATTACTATTATTTTTATTACAAACAAAACTGTCTACATTGATTTTACTGAAAAAAACTCGAGCTTCTTCAATTTTGTTTTCAGATATGATGATCGCACCAAGAGCATATACTCAGAAACTTACATAAAGCATATTGATCGACGAAGATCAAGTGAGTTTGGCAGCAGTCTTTGAAACGAAACTACGTTCCCAAGGTTCTAAGCATAATATACGAATGCAAACAGTACGTTCAATGTAGACGACATTTACATACGTATCATATATAAATATATAATTGGCAAGCGTGCGCCAATTTAAATATGATTATATACATACACACAATATATATGCGCACGCGCGCCTACACATACGCGCGCGCGTGCGCATACACACACACACACACACACACACACACACACAAATCCTGCCAAGACTTTATTCATCATTTTGCCAAATAGAGAAGAAAAGAGATAGAGAGAAATTCACCGTTTTTTTTTCACGGTGATAAATATCCGCGAATATGTTAAATATAGCATAAAGCTCGAAACACGCATTATACATAGATTATGTCGTATTGCCAAAGTTAGATTTTTAAGTAAACTTTTGTAGCCAATGAAGAGTATGTCGTGCTTCGCGAGGATTAATAAAATCGTGCCTGTGGAGGAACGAAGGAGATTCTGATGACGAACTTTGCTGAGCTCTTCGTGAGAGAAGAAACATTCGCTTCTGAGAATATCTTGGATATCTGAATGAATATAACTTTGAAAAGCTACGATAGAGTGCCCGGTTGATTCTGTAAATTTTTTAATGTATTTTATTGGTCGAGATATAGCTTTCTTTTATTTTCTATGGTTCCTTTTTGATTTGAATCTCGTGATTAACAGAATTGACTTTTTTTTATGTCACGATGATTCTTGCAACAAATTTTCATGTTCTATTTTTAAAGAAAATGGATAAATTGGATGGATAAATTAGATTATTACTTATTATTACGAAACATAAATGCTATAGGATGTTTTACGATTAAGTGTATATGTCACGGTGAATAAAAATAATTAGTCAGTGACATAAAAATATACATATATCACACATGCACATATATGTATATGTGCAATAGTATAATTGACATGAGAAAGTGATCGATTCTAAATTAAATAGATATAAAAGTAAATGGATTAAAATGGTATATATTCACAATAATCCCAGTTACATTTGATTGTTAAGATATCATTTCATATAGTTAACTTGCTAAAAATTGTGAAGTTAAATGATCTGTGTTATTATAATTTGAAAATTATTAAATTGAAAATTTGAAAATTATTAATAAAAGAAATGTTAGTATATGCAAGAATATAAACGAATGAGTTATTAAAAGATGAAAGAACAGAGGTGTATGTGAGAAAGATTAGATGTATAACGTTTCAACAATTGGTTAATGTGAGATTAGTCAATGATACGAAGATTTCAATGCTTGATTTGTGCATTTTTAAATCACGATCAAACAAATGTGAAATTAATCGATTATTTTTGTTTCATATATCTATGTAATAAATTAGATTTGGGACCCATGTGAATTTTACTTTTTTAATTTTAATTCAGTTTCAATTGGCTTGCATTATAGCTATAATATTTCTTATGACTGATATTACATGATAACGTTAAATATAGATTATAAAAAAAAATACCTTTCTATAAAAACTAATCTGTATTTTCGCGGCTACAAACAATTCTTTTAAATATCTAAATATTAATTTATAAATCATTTTTAAAAATTTAAATTGAATAATGATTACATCATAAAGAATAACGTTATTTTGTATTTAGATTTCAAATGAGTGTAATTTTTGCTAATTTAATTAATTGCATTATTTATGCTTTAGTTATGAACACACTTTACATCACTTTTAATTTTCAGTTCTAGCCATTGCAGTCGCAAAATTTTTACCAGTTTCGCCGGTGATTTCATCAACATCTCGTAGGCGTCGATATTTGGAAAATATGTTTTATAAATAATTGAAAGCTTCTTAAAAATTGTAACTCATAGATAAAATCTTTGCATATTTAAATAGCTTTTGTTATACAAAAAAGATTATACAATTATAAATAACATAATAAGTCATACAATAGTATTATTACAGTATCAAGAATGTATTATACAAGAACGAATTGTAACGCGTTGTAAACGCAATTTAATGATTTAATACCGAGATCATTTTTATGTAAATGATATCGAGATTGTGTTTCAATTAACACTGTCGACAAAACAAATAATGATGTTGAACGCAACATTATGACACTCTTAGTTCCTACAAAAATATAAATGTGCACATACTTTCATTATTTTTGTCATGATGATTAAATTGACATTTACTTCTGGTTGCAAATAATTATTCCATTATATTTTAAGATGCTCTTATCTATAAAACTACATTAAATTCGGATACAATGTATCTGAATAATAACTTTTGTAAATAAGAACATCCGAAAAACAGAATTATAAATAAATCATTACTCTTGATAGGGAAATGCGATATTTTCCATTTCTATCCTTGTTCTTCCAACGCCATATCTTTAAAGAAATTGGTTCTCGTTTCTCGTATAAGCGGTACGCGAACATTAATTTTCTTTGATTAGTCAAATGATAAATATAAGAAGTAGAAATGATTAAAAGATCTCACCTTCTAGAATGATGAACGAAACAGTAACAATTGCGAACTTCGATTTGAGTTTGATAAATATTTATTTAGAATGTTTTATTTATATCTTTCGTTTCTCAGCTGCGATTGTCTTCAGCAAAAAACATGTAAAAATCGATTTATTATATTGATCTAAAATCTAGTCATGCAAATGTAGAATTGATATTGCAACTTCCAATAATCGTCGATTTCGTATCGGTTGTCCGGTAACAGAAAAAAATGAGTATTTACTTGTCATTTAACACGTGCGTACGATTATTACGTCATTGAATGATTGGCAATCGCACAAATTGTATAATGTAAATTTTCAGTGAGTTTAATTGCACATTTATATTCGAATATGGATGACATAATTAAATGGTATCACACTAATCATTTTTGCTAATTTTCTTATTACAGTTATTAATTAAGAAAATATATTTAATATATATATATATATATATATATATATATATATATATATAAAAATGCTCACAATGTTATTATTGGTAGTCTTCGATATTCATAAATTTAAGTATAATTTCAATAATTTCAACTTTGATTAGAGACTAGAGAGCAATTGTAATATTTACATTATTTAAATTATTGAACTCGTTTATTAAGCAATTAAAATCATTGATTGTAATAATGAAACTTTAAATTTACGTATGACATTTATACAATTAATCGAAATACATGATATGCATAATAATATATTTTGTTAAACTTTATTGTTTTAAGATTATTTTTGTTATTTGAATGTAATGTTGAATATAAGAATTATAAGAAAGAAATGATTGCTCATCTCTGTTACTAATATTTTATTTTATTTAGTAAAAAGCATGCATTCGTTATTTCAAGTTGAATAACGGTTGGTAATATTGATAAAAAAATTGGATCAACATCATCGTAATGTAGTATAACGAAATGTAGTATAACAAAATCTGTCTATAAGATTAGCTATATAATATACTTTTTTCTCTTTTTTAATCTTTATTGGCTCATGAAATCATCATTATAGAGAGTGTGTCTTTTCTATCAGAAAAAAGAATTGAGTTGATACAATAATGTCATTTCGTCAAATCACTATATTATATGGCAGAATGATTAAATTTTCTGTCTTATTTCTATATTACCTTTATACAATTCAGTGTTTTCTAAATTATTGTAGATTTTATATTAAATAATAATCTGAAATTCTTTTACATTCTTTTATATTCAATTATTTTTAAATAATTTATAGTGATTATGCTTGTTCATAAAATTATCAATTATGTAATACTTTTACAGAGGAAGGAAAAGATAATAATAGTTTGTTATCTAGTAATAATTAATCTATCGATAAATATAGAAAGGTTGTCTAGATTATTATACGATTATATTGTATATGTTATGTATGTTATTGCTTTCCTTCTGTGATAAAAATTAAAAAAATTGTTGTAAACTTTTATTATTCGCTAGTTGTAAATATTTTGTAAATATACGTGTGTATTATTTTATATTATTTCGTAAGAAACAGAAAAATACTTGCCGAAAAGACTAGCCTTGCAATAATTATAAAAAGATATTGTCCTGTTTTACATATATGTTTGACATATTTATTAGTTCTAAAAGCGTATTAACAATCAAATGTAATGTATTAATTATTAATTGTAGAATATATAAATTATACGCAAACGATGTAAGAAGGAATTAACATATTTTTTTCTAATAGTTATTAATCTCTTATGTCACGATATGGCAATTGCTAACAATATATCATTAATTTTTATTGATTTCTTACTTAACTCTTTTTGTATAATTTTTTTAAATTTTACTTTTTTCTGAAAAGAAGAAAGACAATACAAGAAAAGGAGCAATCACCATATAAGCAATAAAATAAATCCAGATTATGAATTATATATATAAAATCTAAAGGATGACTTAATTTAAATTTTTATAAAGACATATCAAAATCATTTCTTCTCACATTGTAAGAAAAAAATGCACAAATTTTTTGTATCTAGATCTAGATATTGATGGTTTTTTATTCGCATCTTAAAATATACGCCACTTAAAGATTTCAAGAAAGCATGTTGAGCGTATTAGAAGTTAATTGTAGAAGTTAATTAAAAATATTATCTTTGTTAATTAAAAATATGAATATTATACTCTTACTTCTCTTTTATTTTTTTGTGTACACATGCGTACTCGCGCGCATGTGTATAAGTGTGGATATGTGCGCGTCCGCGCACGCGCGCGTTAATATTTATTTATTTTATCATTTATTTACCAAAATACCAGTATTATTAGCATTTAGTATTATTATGTATATACTCGAGTCCTTTTGTTTTTAATTCTTTCTTATGAAACTAATGGCAATTAAATTCAGACTTATGATTTTATAGTTTTATGATTTTCTTCGTAAATGTAGAAAAAAACATGAATTATAATTTTTATTTATATTATAATTCTTATTTATTTAAAAATTCTAAAGTTTACATTTAAAATATTTATTTATTTCTTTTTTAATATATGTATATCATAAATTTAATATATGTATATCTTAAATCATGAATCATACATATATCATGAATCTATCAGATTAAATTGATCGACATTTAACAATATAGTAAAAGTACTAATATATTTTACAAGAAACATCTGTATTTTTCAAATATTCTTCTTATTGTTATTTGACAAACAGCGATTTGCGCGAGCGCGTGTATAAACGCGCGTGAGATACGTGTGCGTGCGTGCCGCATGTGTGTATGCGTGTGTACGTGCGCACACACACGACATTCTAATAAAAAAACAGCTACATTAAACTTATCTTTACTGAATATATTTACTTTTTAATTATTTTTATTGGATATAGAGACAAAGATTAAGATTAACGGTACATTTTATGGAAGAAAATCATTATTTGCTTTACAGAAACTGGCAAATTAATTCCATTTAAAAAAGTAATTTTCAAACATAATTCAACTGCACTGTCATTCAAATTAGATATGCACGCAAGAATGGAGAATAAGTTATGTTTTTATTCGAGAACACGATATTCTTATATATAATAATAATCTAAAAAATAAAGATGCTACATTGATCGTTTAATATAATTAATGACACATTAATGAAACAAGAATAGTTAGAATGTCAATGCGAGTGAAATGAAATGAGATTATTTAACGAAGATAAGAGCGAACGAAGATTTGTTCCTCCTTAAAAAGTTTTTCGTCTAAGAACTTTTGGACTCGTTGTCTTCTATTCATCTTTATAAAATTCTTTCGAGAAGTAACCTGAGTAAGGCAACCAGGAAAGTTTGTAGAAACAAAAGAGACTAAACGATGGTAGCGAAGGAAACATAAAAAATTAAGTTACAGTATACGTATGTGAGATGTACACTTTTAGACTAGTCATTTCTCTTTTATTTTTTTTCTTTCTTCTCATTGATATTAGGTAAAGAAAAAAATCTAATTTGTCTTTTTTTTTACGTCTTTAACGATTTTATGAAATATTTTAAAAAATTGCCGTAATTAATTTTTTTATTTTTATTTTTTTTATTAATATAAAACTATTTCTTTTTAATTTGATAACTCTTCAAGAAGACTGCATAATAATAGGTAGTTTCTTAGAAAGTTAATAAACCACTGTTTCCGTTTTCTTTAAATAATATCACAATAAATATTTGCTTACACAAGAGCTTTGAGCATATAAAATCTTAAAATCACAATTATTTTTAAAATAAAATGTACATTATTGTATAAAATAACATATTTTTTTTTATTATGTAGACGAAATTCTGGCTCAGATCTTTCTATAAAAGTACAAGCTTTTAATGTGAAAATTCATAAAATCATTCTTCAAATCATTTATAAAAAAATTTTTTAAATTCATAAAAATTTAAAATTTTTCAAAAACAATTAAAACGGTAATGATTCTTAAATTACTATTAATGAGCATTAAACATCTGTTTTCTATAGTACTATTAAAAGAAATATGCTTGAAAGCGTCATGAATAATAATATGTATTATACATATATTGTGTATTATGTTATTTCTTTAACCTTTGAATACAATTATATTAATCTATACGTTGATTTCGACTGTGTTAGTCGTCTGTGTTAAACGAAATATACAATAATAATGTACTACTTTCAATGACGAATGTTCTATTTTCAATGGCGATCTTAAGTATTTCTTAATCAAATTTTAAAGAAAAATATTTTATAAATAATATAAATAATATAAAAGTTGTAAGATTCTGAAATGATTACGATATTGATTCATTCAGATATCGCCATGGCCATTTTCTTAAAAAGAATTATATATTTTCTGTTACTTAATATGATCCCTCTAGTTATTCTGGATAAAAAAA